TATCGGTATAACGATCGCGAGATTCGGCGGCTGGTCGAAGAAAATTATACGCAAAAATTATACCGGGGGGCTACTGTTTCGGTCGTCGTCGCGCCGATCGGTCAATGTCGCCCGGCTTCGGACACACAATAACTCCCGACGACGACGTTTCGTTTTTGATTTTCCGGTTTACCGCCGATCGGACTACCATTTTATTAGCAGTATACCGCATATTATTATAACAATTGAATAAGAATGAGAGAAAAAAATACATTTAAATATATTATTGTAGCTATTATAGGTATTATAGGTATTCCGAACGGGAAGGAGGGGAAACACCCACAGAGCTTCGTCACTATAGTCAAGTTTTCCCCCGCAAATTCAGTATTATGGGGAAATATTCTGTGTAAAACAATAAATAACCGAATACTATAATACAATAGCATATATTATATTGTATTATGCCACTTCTAGAAACAAACAAAATTGTAATTTGGGCATGAAAATGGTAAAGACGAGGGTTCAAAGCTAAAACACCCAGAATGCACAACCTTGATAGCAATACAATGCATAATATAATATGTATACAAAATGGCATTTTCTTGGTTTCGTTTGGAGAGTGAATAGTGTATATCATAGCAAAAAAATGAAATAAAAGATTCCTCGGTATACGCTCCGAATCAAAAATGAACACCAAAACTATAAAGTCACAATAGAGTCGAATTTTCTTCCAGCCGACTTGTTGCTGTTACACTATTTTATATTTTCTTTGTTTTTTTTCATATAATGATAAGGAACTTAACATTAACAGTTTTGTCAAAATAGATAATATAAACGATATAACTAGAGCTCTCCATTGTGACGGAGGCGTCCTTGTCACTATTAAAAAGACGTTAAATTCCAAACTACTATTAACATTGATACTTTAAGTGTTGATCAGATTTTCGATGAAGTTTAAGTTAATGATCTTATAATTATTCTTTATGCTGTGAATATTCCACCTAATATAGTTATTTACAGTCATAGGCACAAATAAAGAGGGCTTTAGGGGCTAAGTCTCCCTAAAAAAGACAATAGCCTCCCCAAAACTCTCCCAAATTTTTGTCTATACTTATTAAATTTTTTAATAGTTTATGACACACGGTAAAACATTTGGTGGTATTAAAAAATAATTTTTAACCGATAAATTTAACATTGGTGAAAAATGAATGACGAAAATTGAAAAAATAGTCATGATTTGACGGTAATTAAATAAAATACATATGGAATATCTTACTGTATATTCGTATTTTTAAGAAAGCGTAATTATTCATGAATAAACAGATTTTATTTATCATGACATTATTTATAAATTATTATATTACTGTAATTATTGTAGCATTGCAACATTAATACTCCCGGTCGATTTATCAGGTAGTAATTTTTTTAATAATCCTTCGTACACTAACCGATCAACCTCTATATTTTAGATACCAACACACAGCGTAAATTACATGAAAACTTCTATTCCAAAAACTATGTCACTTTGTAATAAACTTTCAGGAAATATAGATTTTTTTCTTTTTCACCCATGAGTAATATTGTAAAATCACACTGTAATTATGGTATGTAAATCTGAATATACAAGTCTTTATTATTATTAAACTATATTCTAACTTTATTATATATACTTTACTATTTATGTACATTTAAATATTGTTCTAATTTCTAAGTTTCTTATCTGTATTATTGGGCTCTGCCCATTTTATTTTTCAGTTACATGTATCCAAAAAAAAAAAAATTTGGTGTTGCTTAAATAATTTTAGGTGATCTGCCCCTCATAATATTGTTATACCTGCCGATAAGATAAATTCTCATTATTTATTGTACCGCGTGGGACTTCGAACAGATTTTGATGTTCGTTCTTCTAGCAATACCCGTCCACCCATATTTAAGGTGTTGCTTAATGAGGAACACTTGGACCCTAGGTTACGCGTCACTGTTATTTATTGAATACATTATAATAATAATTATTGTTATATTTTAATCGTAGTATTTTTAACAGCTACGTAGTTAGGGGGCCAATGGGTTCAAGACTCAGCTCCCCCCCCCCAAATTTAAGCTTCTCACTAAAAAATTAGACTATTGGTACAATTATTGGTAGTTGGTGATAAATTGTATGTTTAGTCTTCCAAAAAAAAATCCTGGCTACGTACCTAATGGGGATGGTACTCTAGAAAAATTTTCACTTTTACCTTGTCTCAAATATTATAATCAATATTTATCAACTTTTATGTATATATATAATCGTAAACTGGCAACAGCTGCAACCTAACGCCAATCTAACGGAAATAAGATTTAAGTATAATATCAACCTAATAATAGTACTTCAACTGAAATCGTAAATGAATACAACGTACACCTAACGCATATTCGGTTACTTGCGTTTACAGTTTTAAAATAAAACAAGAGTGAAAGTCATCGTGTCTATACGGCATCGCGAAAAAATCTCACATGAAGATTTGTCTGTCTGGATCCGTTAAACCGTATTTTACGACGATACAATATTATAATATATAGTACAAAACTATAATATTTATATATTATATTATTATATATATTATATTCACAGTATGAAAAGCCCCGTTAATATCACCTTGATTGTTAGTCAAAACAAATGTTGATAGCTGTATTTGTCAGCGTAATTTTTTATTAAAAATTATACAACACGTCAATAATTAACGAAGCGGTTACCATATTATAATATATTTTAAGCGGTACGTTTAATTTAAGGAAAAACATTTTATTATAGCTCACTCGTACTAATGTATAATTAATGTATAAATTATACAGTCATAATAACACGTATCGTGATACGATGATATATCTATGTATATATTATATTTGTTGAACATAAATATATTTTATTTTATAGGTGTAAAGATCACGTTGTTCATAATTTTTATTTTTAGTATTCCTTTTTTAACCGCACACATACCAACATTTATAGCGTAGTTACCTATATAATTAATTCACTCGCAGATGATAACATTATATTATTATATTTGTAACCAGTCTATTAAGTGTTATTTGAGGTCATCGGGATAGGATAATATTTAATGGGTTAAAAACATCAGACTGGTTATGTTTATTTTTATTTTTTTTGTTCGCAATGTTTTGGCCAGCTCGCGTTATTGATTATTGGCTGTATAAGCCACCGTGTAACTCATTAATATCAATAAAATAATATTATGCTCAATAATCATTAATAAATTAAACATTATAAAAATACAATTTTATTATGTAGGTGCGCTCCACCTATCTGCGAATAATCGCGATGCTAATATTTTTTTACCAACGTGAATACGCGTATTACACGACTTCATGAATCCAATAAACAATTTATTAATTATACGTGAAATTGTGTATTTCTCGAATATACCTATGTTGTGCAATATTATTATAATCATTTGAAAGTTACAAGTCAATTTAATGTATAAAAGTATAAAAGTACAATGATTATATTACAGAAATAAAACCGTTTAGTAAACGACTGAATTTATTAAAATTGACGATCAAAGTTTTTCTCTTTTTAATATTCTAAACGGAGCGAAGAAGCTATTACAGCTTTACTACGATGCGTGTTTTTATATTATTTTCTAGCAGTGGCGTATAAGTAAAAAAAACTCACTATTAGTTTTAATGATATGCGTGTTCTTTTTCTTTTCTAACAGAGGTTAAGTGTAAAAATTCGACCTGAATGAAAAAAACTTTAAGGGCCCTTTTCCAATTAGGTTTAAAGGTTTAAATGTAAAAGATATTCACTAGATACACTACGTTAAAAGCGTATTTTATTAATCTTTTTCATTGTAATAAATCAGTAATATATACATAGATATAGAGTATTAGCATAGTGTGTTTGACCGAAAAGGATCAAAACGCATTTAAATCAAAACTGGAGATATAATAGGAGTTAATGCAGTTAATATACACTAATGTTGCTGGTTGGCAATAATATTAACAAATTTACTAAGATAACAGATATTATTAAAATAATAAATTGTAGTATTACTTAAAGTGTTTATATTCAATATAAATGTTAATAAATTAGTTACATTTAATTATTGATCTAGTAAGGTTGAGATTAGCATTTAGGACACAACCCGCTTTAGTCTTTGTAGCAGTGAAGATTACACCCAGGGTTCACCATGTTCCTTTGATGTGTTTCCCGCGAATGGGAAAGACTACGAATACAAATTTTGATTTTAAAATTGTGTTTTTCGGGAAAATTGGGTAGGTCCGGGTTTACCAGGCCTACTCACTAGTTACACCACTACTTGCACTTTTTGTAAAGAAAATTGTTATCATAAAAATGTATCAATATCATATCATTTGCCACACCAACAAAATTCACTTACTGTACCCACGAAGCCGAAATGTACACTGCACAATCTTATATATATTAATCATTTTCACGCAGTCCTCTAGTGCTCTAGATTGCTATCTTTATTTTCCTATTTTTTTTCAACAAAAATAATCACGAATAATTTATGAAATTTAAAAAAAATTAGAAAAATAATAATCAATAATTGATTGCTTATGAAAAGGTCCATCGGAAAAACTTACGAATTTCCGGTGTGTCTATCTACCTCTAGTTTTAGGAATCTTTATGCAAAACCTCGTACCTTAAGCCAAATAATATTCCGAAAATCCAAAACTCGTAAGTCAAATATCTCTTTCGACAAATATTGAAAACATATTTTTTCGGAAATAATATCAAACAGATTGTATAATTATAGGTAGTAAAAAGTAAAAAATATTTGCTTTTGTTTGCTGTCACGGATTTGCGCTTCTCCCGTAAAATGCTATAAAATCGACTCGCAAAGTTTTTCCCCGAATCCAACGATAATGCGGTGTTTTAATAACTATACTTCTTTATTTCAATTTCTTTTTTTTTTTTTTTTCATCGGCTCTAGAAAACCTTATAAAGTAATTGGAGAAACGAAAACGCGAGTACGTTTCGTTTGATAATGTGTAGCAATAGGCGTGTATACACAGGCAACAATAAACTTTATCCACAACGTTGCGCGCACCAATAAAACGAAACGCGTTCGGTCAAGACATCACGTATGTTAATTTATCGATGTCGTTAAAATATGATATACGGATGCAATGTAAATAACGATAATAACAAAATTTTAACACGGTCCGGGCGTAATATAATTATAACTAAACACACAGGTATGTACAACGAGCGGCAATAAAATAACAGTAATAATAATCTCATAGCCAAGGCTAACACAGTTAAGTTTTTTTTTTTTTTTTTTTTTTTTAAGAACGCTTTAAATATTATTATTACGCCGGGTGCAGTCGGGTTTCGTATATAATAAACGTACATAATCATAATTGCTTAATACGACATATATAATTTTAGGACGATGGACATTATAATGTATAAGTATACCTATTTCTTTTTTTTTTTTTATATTTTAATATAATAATTCGTTCGAAACCACGGGGGTATTATTTCATATTTTTAGTTGTTACGGATTATCATGATAAAATATATATATATATAGGTGTACTTACCGAGAGTGTGTTATTAAAATAATAATAATAAGCGGTAATGGTAATATTATGTTATTCACGAAAACGAAAACATTATCATTATAATGGTTTACGGCGTATGTAAGGCGGGTAGGTGTACTATATTATTATTTATTTTTATTTTTTAATACCTGTCTCGTTAGATACACGTCGAAGGCCGCGGCCAGATCGACGTTGGGTAAGTGCGGTTTATAACAACCGTCAGGATTCGCAAAAACGCGTCTGAATTAATATTTCGTATCAAACTGTACGGCGCTCGTGCAGTCGTAAATATTGTCCAGTAGGAATCTGGTTGATTTTTATTGGAAAGCTCTGTCGTTCCGCAATCGTTTATGTTGACCGATTATAGCGTATTATTTCAAGAGTCGTATTAACCGGGGTTCGGAACTTATAGGGCCGGGTCAACCTGAAAGCAAAATAGGTATTGCTTACGGCCCTTAAAAAAAAAAAAAAAATTGTTAATTATTTATAATTATTATATTTTAGTATCACTCATAAATCACGATATATTTTAATTTGTCCCCTCCCCTTCTTTCAGTGGAATGTATTTACAGAGTGCTCGCAGACAAGTATACAGCAAGTATTTTTATATGTAACGTATGATTGATTTAACATTTGTATACATTTAAATTAGGCTCGTCTGATTTATTTATTTTCGGTCCGCCAAGTACATAATCCGGCTATGCTCATAGCAAGTCATAAAATCAACAAAAAAACTTCATTAAAAGTCCGTAACAATACGGACGGACGGATACAACGGGGATTTACGGTGTTCCAAATGTATGTTTAGAAACCGAACATGGACAAATGTCTTCTACGAAACATAGACAAGAAATTAAATATTTCAAATATATTTTCAAAATTAAAATTGAGCGAGAGATATTCAAAAAAATCAAGTAGGTATTGTTTCTATAAAAAATATTAAATTTTTCTAATATTCAAACGAACCGCTCACACGTCTACAATGGTGTTAAAAATGTAACGACACTAATGACGGGTTAAAAATTATAAGATGATTCAGCTGAAAATAAGAAATCGAAATTGTCTTAAACAATCACAAAGTATAAAATATGCAAGAAAAGCAGAAAAAACGACATAATAGTTCCATAACACTGGTAGATTTTATGTCAAGCCAAAACAATAAGCAATAATTCTGTAGATTCCGAACGTTAGTCATAACATAACTTCCTTGGCTCGCTAACATGCTAGAATCTTTTTTTTTTTTCAAGCAAGCATAATTTTAGGCTATTCCGGATTTTGAGCGTAGCGATGATATTAGGATGCTGTGTACTTTTTTGTGACTATTATAACAACTCGTTAACTAGAAATTTGACTACGATTGTCACCGTCTTCGGGGGCGTTTCTTCCAATAAATTTTGTTTATATATTGGATTGAGGTCAAACTGATTTTCCTTGTAGATTTCTCAGTATTTGAGAAACAAAACCGAGAATATTTACGCAATAATGGTTTCTGTTATTTTAATTTTGTTTGAGAAAACAACATTTTTTCTATAAGCATTTAAAGTTAAACATTTTCATGGGAATATTATATGATTCAAATCACGACATTTTACGTACTTTCCGATTCATATAAATATAGAACTTTTTTTTTGAGCCATAAAAATACTTACAAATATAAAATAGTAAAGAAGAAATAGGATTAAATAACAATTGTAATTTATTTTGTGTAGTTACAAATAATAAGGTTTAATTTAAGTTTATCAAATGATTTTCAACCGAACTTTACTCGGAATCGTTTTCCGTTAGCAATGATCTATCGTCGTTGCGTACAGATGTACTAAATTACCCAATGTAACCTATCTTCTCAACTTCCCATCTGCATCAATGTGACTCCTCTATGGTACGAAGCAACACATCAATTTTAAAATTTAACTGCGAGTTACGTAATATGCAAATTTCTCGGTCATAGTCCTGCACCTTTGGTTGTTACGTGGCGCAGTTTTATTCCAATAATATAGCTAATCATTTTCCATAAAATTTTGTTTAAAATTCATTTATACCAGCGAACCTGTTTCGTTTATTATCGACTGAATATCGCCCGCTTTCAAATACTTACCCGAAATCCGTGTCACCGACGGCGGCGAAATGTCCTCTGGACCGAATTGCACTACTACCGGACCGCCGCCGTCGTTATCGTCCAAGAGGATGGTAAAATATTCTCATTGTCTTTTGGCGGATAAATACAATAATAATATTATTAACTGTGCTCGTTTTTGCTATACATCATCACCGACAACTCGGTCGACCGAAATATTCCTATTCTTATTTTGGATCATTTTTTTTCCCTCACACATATACACCATCGCCACAACTATATAGAATCCGGTTTTGATAAAATCATCGTAAACTAAAATACTGCCAGTGCACGCGCTACATGCCATTATAATATTTAGGTATACGATGCACGCGTATCGGCAAGTTTACAGGTCGTCTCGAGACATATTTTAAAAATTCCAAAATTCGCTATTAGTGTCCGTATTAGTTAGTAATAATTTTCGGTGAAACGGTTTTCCAGAATTTGTTTTGCTCAAAAAATTCCCCAAAAAGTAACGTTCTATTGTGGATTTATGAGCAACATAAAACGAACATTCGCAGTCAAGGCTTTTGATTTTGAGTTTTTGGGTTATATCTAAAGACCACAATTGCAGATCCAGATCTTAATTTTGGAAGAGAATACAATTTAAAGCAATGAAAATGGGTATATATTTGACCAAAATATAAGAAAAAAGCATATCATATTACAATGTTTGGAGGGGGGGGGTTATCATACTGCCCCATTGATCCGTCACTGATAAATCCACTCACAAAATGTGGCCACAATTTTATTTTTGGTGTAAAAAATGTCCTGAAAACTCTTATTAAACGTAAATATCGATGTTTTCTGAAATTATAGTTTTTTTGTTTTAAGTTTTTAGAAATACTATTTTTAGAGACCTGAAAAATATCATCAAATACATATATTTTTATATTAGCTATATTAGCTTAAATACCTATAAGATACGTAAATATTTTTAATATTTACCCACTCGAAATTAGAGCAAATATTTATTTTTTTTATCAATTAACTATTAAGTGCATGACCAGTTTATATACATATATAAATATAAAAAAAAAAAGTTGATACGGTTAGTGGGTGTGCCACTGTTATAGATGAGAAATTAGAAAGATAAGATATATAAAGTTATTTAATTTACATCTGTGCACATCGATGAATCATTGTTGGCAAAATACGATTCTGAACAAAGTTCCGATGACATGCTACAATTTTTACTATCCTCGTCAAAATTTTAACTTAAGAAACTTATAAAAAGTAAACCAATTATGAAACCACTTAGTACAACTTATAATGAACTTTGTGTTAAATTGACAAGTATTTCTGTTTAGCAAAAAAATTGTATTCACATAAAACCAATTATAAAAACTAAATATTCAAAAATTGGCAAATACTTATAAATAGCTCAATTTTACTATGTCTAGAAAAGTCAAGAATAAGTATTTTGTAAAAATCAGGTCTAAATATTTTTTTTAATTACAATAAAAAAAAAAAAAACAAACAAACTCGAAAACAATGACATAGTTTACGTCGTAAATTTGTCTGTTTTTAATTTATGTTTTTCTCTAGTTTTTCTCAGTTTATTGAAAACTGCTTGAAAAAATTGACTTTTTGTACCAACTAGATCCAAGATACCACAAAACAGGTTTCGTGGCATTTTTCGATTGAAGCAAAATTTCTGGTAGAAAGATTCTTTACAGACAGACAAAATATATATAATTAAAAATATCGCACATCATCTCAAAACCAATGCATTTCTCGCTCCACTCGTAATATAAAACAACAAGTTTTCATAACGTCAAACGTGTTACTGTCTATATGTTTTACATTAAAAACAAATTTACTCATTTTACCGGATAAATTCCGAATAAATGCCAATCACTAAATCTTATACACGTTTAAATTTGCATTGATTATTAATGTATTACTGTTTGATGGGCTATAGTAAAAAGATTTTGTAAGCGTTAATAAATGATCGACCAACTTGCGCTTGCCTAATAACAGTATTTTATATTTCAAAAAAAAAAAAAAAAAAACGAAAAAAATCGACGTGTATCTTTTTTTATAAAATTAATTAACCTATTGACGCAGAAAATAATAATTTATAATGTTTTCACGTATAATAGTTTATAAGTCGGCCGTTTATAAATTCAATACAATTTAATAAATTATACAACATTTACGTATATAACACTATTTCTTTGCCCCCTCACCATCCCCACCGGTCGTTGTTTTATAGTCGACGACAATGTCTTTTATTAAATCTTATTATTCGTTATAACGCATTACGTTTTAATCGTAACCTGTAGTTATTAAACGTTATATTTTAATGAGTTTATACCTACGAGCTATAAGACGACGGCGTTGGCGCGGTTTGCACGCGGTTCAACAATATACAATTAATTGAAACTTCATATACTTACCGTCATTTCTAAATTAAAAAAAAAAAAAAAAAACATCATTATTCTTATCGCATTCGCCGTATTTACGCTTTTGTTCTATAATATTTTATTTATTTAGCGTACAAAAAAATTATACGTAGCGATTTATCAAAAAAATACCACTTCGTGCTATTACAACAGTCGTTCAGTATAAACCGAAAACTAGTCTATCGGTGTACAATCTCCTTGAAATATATTATTATAATAATATTGTTTACTGTCGGATACAATATGTAATTAAATATTAACTATGATTGTGATATACGATCGGTATGTTCACAGTTCTGCTATATAATCACAGTCGTATTATAAA